GCAGCAGCAGCAGCAGCAGCATTCAAACCGAAAATCCCCCGCTCGGACTCTGGCTTGGATCGCCTTGCCGATTCACAGAGACCGATCGGCTCTTTGGCCGCCCAAACCATAGCCCCACACGCACAATCAAGCTCGCTCGTAATGAACAAGTAGATGGATAACTATTGCTGGTATTGGATGGGACTTGGGATGCTTCATCACTTTTTGTTGGGCTTGACCTTCTTTGCCGGCGACTTGGCATCGCTCTTGGATGCGGAATCCTTGTCGGCGGCGGCGCGCTTCTTGTTCTTGACCTTGTCGCCCGCCTGAGGCTGGACCACTTTGAGCAGCTGCTTCATCAGATCATGAATCGACGCCGACGCCTTGAAGCGCTCCGAACCCTGCAGCTTCTCCGCCGCCTCTTGCAGCTTCTTTACCTTCCAAGCCGCCTCGACCTTACCCGCGTCCTTCTCGGCGCGCAGGCTGATCCTCGCCGCCTGCAGGACAAACTTGATCGTGTCCTTCATGTGGCTCGACGTAAGCGCCGCACCGGAATCCTCCACCGAGTCGGTAACGATCTGGACAAAGACGCTGCTGATGTCGGGCACGAAGCCCAGCACCTCGGTCTTCTCGGCGCGCTGGGCCATCTGCGTAAGCACGGCCTGAAGCATCGACATGGCCTGAACCTGGCGGAACGCGCGCGTGGCGGCTCCGGGTCGACAGTGATCCAACAACTCGCCGCGAAGCTCCCACCCGAGCAGGGGGAATCGTCGGAACGCGTCGATGAGGAACTCGTGTCGCAACCGACTCGCTTTGCGCATGAGGTAGTCCAACAACGACGCGCGATAGATCGCCACCAACTCGCCACCCAGTGCCGTCTTGGCATCGTCGCCAGCCTGCGAAAGCGCCGTCTTGGTGAGGTAGGCATTGATCGCCTGACTCACGTTCGACACGTCGTTCGACTGCGACTCGCGCGCCTCTCTATGCATCCTCTCCACCAACTCCCGAAGCTGAGAGGCATCCACCGAGTCTGGAACCGTCTTGGCCTTGGAAATGCGCGTAAGCAGTAGTCCTCGCGCCTTGTTGGCCAGCTGCTCCGTATCTTCGTCCCGCGCCTTCCACAGATCGTACAGCGGCGCGATCAGGTCGAGCATCAGCTCGCTCTGCGGCTGCTTGCGCGCAAACACCTCCACCAGCTCCAGCACCTTGAAGCGCAGCGCGATTGCCTCCTGCTTCGCCTCCTTCTGGTCGCGCACCGCCGACACGCGCTGCCGGAACACCTCGGCCAACTTGTCGTCCAGAAGCATCATCTCGTCATCGCCCAGATCGGAGAATTCGACGCTCGACTCGGAACCGGCATCCGACTGCGCGTCCTCGTCGTCCTCGTCGTCCAAGTCATCGTCGTCGTCGGCCTCGCCATCGTCGCGTTCCGCCATGCCAGACTCCTTGAGCACAGCGCGCAGCCGCGACCGCAGCTCCTCGTCCACCTCCTCGTCCTCTTCGTCGTCGTCCGCATCCGAACCGCCATCGCTCTCGTCGTCGCTCGTCGCCGATGTGTCCGACGGCTTGCCCTCCTCTTCGCCGTCTTCCGCCTCCATCTCCTCGTCGTCCTCCTCGTCCTCATCTGCCGAGGCCGGCTCGTCGGTGGTGCGCAGGTGCGACAGAAGCAGACCCATGCTTTCCTTTGTCATATCCTGCGAGAAGGCCTCGAAGGCGTTGGTGGCCGTGGTGCGCAGGAAGGCCGACGAGAGCTCGAGGAAGCTGAGCAGACAGTCGCACAGCAGCTCGATGCCCGTGGGCTCCTCCTCGTCCTCGCCACCTTTCCTGCCCTTGCGCGACGAGTTGGCTGCGGGGGGGAAGAGCTTGTCCGCACACGCGCACAGCGGTTCCACCAAATCCGACGCACCGTCCGCCGCATCCGCCGATACAAGCAGCGCCGAGAGCAGCAGCGACCGGAACGCACGCGAGCGCTCGTGCGCCTCGGCACTGTCGCTCTTGGCATCCAGCTTGCGCACGCGCTCCAGACACCGCACGCCCTCGGCGAGCTTGGCGGCGATCTCGGCGTCGTGGTCAAACACCGAGGTGACGCTCTTGTCCGCCTCGAGCTGCACGAGGATCGTGTGTGCCTTGGCGAGCCACAGCTCACCATCCTGCGCCACGCCGGGCGTCTTTTTGCCCGTCGCGCTCGCGATCGTGGTGGGTGCCTGCTTGGCGAGCTCCGAGACGCACGAGAGGAAGCGCTGGCGCGTGAGCTGCTTGAGCGAATCTGCCAACGGCGGCGTAGGCAGTGTGTGGAGCAAAAATCGCTTCTTGATGGGCTTGGTCAGCGCAAAGTAGCCGTGCGCGGCGAGGAAGGTGAGCACGTCGAGGATGAGCGCGTCGTCCTTGGGCACACTGGGCGTGCGCACGAGGAAGAGCAACTGATCCAGCGCCCACTTTCTGCGGTTCGTGATCTCTTGCAGCTCATCCTCATCGTCGGTGGCCATGCCCTTGCACATGATATCGCCCAGATGCTCGACGTACTCGCGCACACGCTCGACGTCGAGTGCCGCCAACACCTGCTCGACCGTCTTGGTCTTGGTGATCGAGTCGAAGTTAGGATGGCCGTTCTTGCCGATCAGCTGGGTCACCAACACGAATCCAAGATGCGGGTGGTGCTTGACGACCTCCTGGATCGTGTGGGTCGCCTTGACGGCGGCGCGGTGCAGCAGGCGTTCGCGGTTGCCGAGCTGGTTGATGAGCGTGCGCATAAAGTTGGGCGTGAAGAGCATGGGTTTGTCGTCGTCGCGCGCGCGCGCCAGGGCGCGTTCAAACACCTGGAATCCCCACGACTTGCGATCGTGCGACGACGAGGCCGCAAACAGCGTCTCGTCCACGACCACGCGGTAGAAGTCCGGGAAGGCCGCAAGCCGCGACTCTGCCGCATCGGCAAAGTAGACGTCCAAGATCAGATCCCACACAAAGTGGATCTTGGGCTGCCAGCGCGACCTTGCGCCCACGGTGGCGTTGGCGTCGTTTTCGGCGGGGATGGCCTCCTTGAGCACGCGCGCGAGCTGCGGCAGATTGGCGGTGGAGAGTGGATGCTCCTTGCGCATCGAGGGCAGCGCAATGTTGTGAAAGTAGTCGGCGGGAGCCGTGTGGCTGAGCTGCAACAGCACGGCGAGCTTTTCGGGGCTGAGTTCGTTTGTAGCTGTGATCTGTTCGGACATCCAAGCGTGGGCCTCTTGCGCCCAGGCGACGTCTTTTTGCTGGATCTGGGCTAGGGCATTGACCATGACCCAGGCGCAGCTCTCTGCCATCCAAGGCTTGTCCGCCGAGAGCGTGATGAGGATGCGCATGCACCTCTTGAACTCGCCGATCGTGGCGGTGTGCTGAACGAGCAGCTCGGCCTGGACGAGGCACATGATGCCGAAGAGTTTTGCAAACATAAAGTCCTTCTGCTCCTGCCTGCTCGCGGCCACCTGTGGATTCGAGTACTTGAGCACGAGCACGAGGATCTCGCGTGCCGTCACGGCATAGCGGATGTTGGCGAGCAGTTCGGTGAGCACGACCGCAAATCCGAGGCGCGAGCTCTCTCTTGGGCTTGCGAGGCCGCGCAGCAGACGACGGAGGGCGTACATGAGGTCGGCGACCGTGCGGTTTCCCAAAGCATCCTCTACGGCATCCGCCTCGGCCTCGTCGACTTGCAGTGCGTTTGCCGCATCATCGTCGGTGGTGGGGAGGGCGGCGTTGAGCGTGAGTTTGGACGTGGAGGCAAGCACGTCCTGCTGTGCGAGGAGCTGCTGGACGAGCTGGTTGGCCGAAGCGAGTCGCGCGTCCTGATCGGACGACGCGATCTCCCAGAACAGCTGCAGGTTGTTCGCCTGCATCGTGTGGATAGCGGCGGAAGGTATGCAGAGATGGTGGAGCCAAAGCACGGCGAGCCGGTTGGAGTCTTTGCCTCGTTGGCTGGCTGTGGAAATTTTCTGCCGACTTTGCTCGGCGCCGGAGGAAACTTTTTTTTTTTT